GCCCCCCCCCCCCCCCCCCGCCCCCTCCGCCCCCCCGCCGCGGCCGGGTCGCCGCCCTGTTTGGTGCGCTGACATGTGCCGGCAGCCAGGTGGACGCGGGCGTCGTGCGCGGACCTCTCGCTCCGGTGCCGGGAGTCCGCCAAGTTCGTGTTGTGGGCGGCCCCGAGGCAGCCGGACCCGACACTGCAAGTGTCTGCGAGTGCCCGGGGGGCAGGAGGCCGGATCCATGGTTGGTCACTCGAGGAAGACAGGCCTGGTGCTGAGCCCCGCAGCCCCCCGCAGCCACAGGTGCTCAGTGCTTCGCAGCAGCACGCCCCCAGTTTGCACTTCGGGAAATGTTGGCTGGAAGGAGCTACCAAGAACTCGCACGGGAAAGGCGAGGAAGGAAAACGCCGAACTTCTGACCTGCAGACATGTGTCGCTGCTCCGATCAGGGGAAAACAGCAACCCAGCCATTTTTTAAGTTACCGTAACTAAATACATAAATAAATACAATTTCCAGCTTCCACAGGCCATAGATTCCATGTGAATCTTTTAATACAAAGTAAACCTAACATTTACTTTATTTTTAGTTTTCAAGTGCAGTTTTTAAAAAAAAAAATAATGCTCATACCAAGCTCGTTCAGCTGTCTAAACGTGGACTATGTTTCTGAATAACTCCAGTTATTTATTAGAATTTTTGTAGGAAAAGGAAACGGCAAATTTCAAGTTCCTTTGAATGAGATATCTGTCTTTCTCTCTCATCTCTAAAATATATATTTAGTGTCGAGAGCAGCATTACAGAAATACGTATGACATCCCTTCAAAATATAACTGCTGTTGAGTAGAAGTCCTGATTGTTACAGCGAAAATGAAATTTCCACCAAATTTGGACAGAAATGGAGACTGTTACCCAAAATGTTTCAATCTTTGCTTGAAATGAAGTGAAACAGGTAAATGCAAGAAATTTCATTTCTAAATTCAAGAAAAAAATCTTATCAAACAGATACAGTTTGGCCTGATCTAATACTTTACTGTTGTGAATTCTGACCTGTTTATATATAAAGTTGCTTTAGAAAATGTTTCTTGTCTATATAGTACAGAACTCATGAGGCATAAATAAAAAGCAGTAAGATCTGGTAGCAATTTCTTTTTTGCAGTAAGAGAAGAAAATGTGCATTGAGATTTGGCTATGCTATCTTTTGTAGCTGTCAGAAAAGTTAGCTGTTTACAGCAGATATTCTTTTAGCTGATTGGGCATATCTTGTTAAGATATTTAGCAATTAACCCTCTGAAAGTTGTGGTTCCAGAGTCGGGGTTTTGGGGGCAAGATGAGCTTATGTTTTATCCAACTGGCCCACAAAGTCCCGCTTTTGGTGGTCACTTTGTTCTGCAAAAGAAACGTGTAGATTATGGCTCATACAGTGGATAGTAAATTAGTGTTATGCTACTGCTGCACTCAGGACAAGATTATGGCACATTTTAAATAAATAACAATATTGTAATTTGATAATGTCCTCAACATGATAAATGGGTAGAAGATGCTACCACTCCTTGGGAATTAGAAGATAAGTTTGTAATTGTTGATGCAATTTATAAAAGATTATTATTTTTTTTATAAACAGTAAAAATCCTATGAAAAAAGTTTTCAGCTGTCATTCAGTTATGGAACACGAGCCAAAGAATATCAATTTACCAAAAGTGAATTTTTGAGAAAAGCAAACTAGTGCCTAGATAATTAAGAGAAACAAGTTAAAAACTTTTTAAAAACCCTATAGCCTTTATAGGATTTCCATTTATATATATTCTTAGTCACAAAATGCTGCCGTTTTATATGTATTTCTCTACACTAACTATCATGATTCAGCCAAATATATTTTTAAAATAATTCTCTCTCTTGGCCAAGTTGGCTACTGTATTCACATTATTTGTAAAATATGTTCTCAGGACAAATGTACTATAAATTTGCACTTAGTAAGAGTGCACAAATCCATTCTATTAATAAATGGTTGGGACTCATAGTCTCAGAGTAGTTTTTACTAAACAGTTTCACTAAGTAAGCATATATTTCCATTTTCCAACTGAGTTTTTGATAAACTTTTAAGATTTGCTGGTAGAAAATTCCAACCCTTTTTGTAGCCATGACTCTATAGTACACAGAATGTAAAGAAACAAGTTACAACTTCTTTGTGAGATTAAATATTTGCTATGTGTGTTCACTGTATACATCCAGAAAGTATGTTTGGTGAAGATCTTTGGTTGATAAAAGTCATCATAGCTATATGCAATTGTCATAGCCACCCCAGCTGTGGATCTTTCCCATACTGTAAATGAGAGACTTGTATTTTCATGCATTGGCAGATTTTTTGTATTATTTATTTTAACTGCTCTACTCATATTAATATATTATATTCTTGTACCACTTTGAATCCTTTAAAAAGATCTGGAAAATTAGCAAACATTGCACAGTGATATACTGTTAAGGTAGTTGCTGATATGGTAATCAAATATACGATAATGATAATCAAACAGATTATTTTACAAAATGAAGAATTCACCATAGCTATTCCAAAGAAGTTTTATATCTATATGGTCTTTACGTATGCATATGTAAGATAGAAAGATGTTTGTGCTCCACACACAGTAAATGAATCAATGTGCTTAAGACCCAAAGTATGTTGAAAGAAATATATGGCAACATTTTAAATTATTATGCTACTGCTCTAGATGTATGTTAACTTCTAATTAATATGAACTTTTATTGTTCAATAGTAGAATTTATGGAAAAAACTTCAATTTTTCTTGTACCAAGGAAATTATATATCTATCTCTCTATCTCCACAGAAATGGATTTACTATATTTATTCATGTAATATTCATATTTGTGTAATGCCCACAAGCCTGAACATTATCTTATAAGTTTGTAAAATAACCTACCTCCATAACTGCTGGACTCAAATTTTAAAGACACTGATTCGAATTACATTTCTCCGAGAAGCCACAATTTGTTGAGGAATGCAACATACCCGCTTAGGAAATGTACTCCACATGGTGTATTAGTTCTGCTTCATATTCAGTCTTGTCTGTAAGATCAAGAAAGATGGAGAAGTAAGAATGGATATTTGAACACCGTGGCTGCATCCAGACAAGTGTGGACATGTGGTATGTAGCACTGCAGACTTGTCTGCGGCTCTGCACACCACATATACAGGTGTTTCTTGCACTACTACCTTGCAGTGCAGGGAGCTTTTTTGAACCCAAGATATGCCGGGGTCAAAAAAGCCCACACCGAAAAAAAGCAGGGCGGCACACATGGCGGCAGTGCATACTACCCAAAGCCAGAGCCTGATTGGCTGGAGCCATAATCCGGCTGCTGGCCAGGCTTCCTGCCACAGTTGCAGCTCTGAGGCTGCAATGTCCCCAGGTAAGGCTGTTGGGACCATCATGGTTACTGGCCCCAGCCTCCCCTACCCCACCTGGGGTAACCTGCCACGTGCCAGAGCGTGCGTGCCCCAGGCGTTTCCTGGGGACAAGTAGCAGCGGCACAAGGTGTGTCACTGCTACTTGTCGCCGGGGAAACAAATGTCTGCACTCGTCCGGACGCACCCTGTATTATAACTTCTGTTTATTGCTGATATTCTTTCCGTCTTGTTCTAGGGTGCATATAATGACCACGCCCTAGTTTATGGTGATAAAATTGGGGTGGGGGAGGGGAAGTACAGCTAAAAGTTAGCAGTAATTTCTCTTTAGAAAATGAAACCCAACATTTGAATGCTCTGAAACGTCAAATATATAGCTTTTAATACTAAATTATGTAATATGTCCATTCTTATGCATCACATTTGGTTAAGCAGCTATTCTTGAGATAACATTTTTCAAATTGGATTTTATTTAGTTCCTCATTAACAATACACATAATATATGTGTAATCCTTCTAGTAGCATTAGGTTAAATCAGACCATTTAATATGTTTATTTTTTAAATAAGCACATATGAACACTATTAATTTAGTCCCGCAGGTTTTCCTCATTAAACCTCTTATTCGTGTATTTTTTCTTTAAGTATATTAAACCAATTAAACCAATGCTAAACTCAGATGTCGCCCTTAAATATGTTCCCCCAAACTCTATATTAATATTAAATTTGTATTCCAGACCAATGATGACCAGATGGTATAGTGATGGATTCCTGATAAATGCTTGTAAAAATTACATGGGTAGGGTCATTCCTAATATATATATCTAGATGCCTTTTTTCCTGCAAGCCATAATTAAAATATGAGAGGTCAGCCTTAAATTTAAATATCTTAGAATGTATTCTGTATACAATACTTGTATTAATTAAATATCAGAGACAGTTTATTTATTTTCTTGTTTAAAATGAGAAAATATACTTATTGAAGAAAATAATTATTTTCAGTCAAACTTTTTTTAAAAATCAAAGCTATTTTGATTATTATTTTTTCATTTATAATTTTGAAAGACCTACCTTCTATACTTTTTTAATACAGTTAAAAACTACCATCGATTTTTTTAATGTCAGGTTTGAGCACTTTCCAAGGAAACTTAAGAGCAAGAGAAACTGAAAGGTCTAGCAAAGGGCCCAACTAGATGCTGTTGAAGTCAGTGGATGAATTCATATAGAAATCAGTGGAAAAAGATTCAGGCCCAGGATCCCCACCACAAAGCAATGGTATGACTTTTTTTCTATCAGAAGGCCTGAACCTGTGAAGTATTTTGCACTTTCAATCTTCTAAAGAAGTGGTCCTCAACCTTTCACATCCCATGACCCCACGTTACAACACAAAGGTTTTCTGGATCCTCTCTAATGTAGTCATAGAGAAAGGGGAGGAGGCTGTGATCCTTCAATTGAAAAACTACGCTGGAGTAGCTAGCAGGTTAGCAAGTAAGGGCTGTAAACTCAGGCTCAAGTTTTTTATGAAAGCATCCACAGTTTTATCCCATGGCAAGGAAATGGTCAAAATCTGCTTGTCATACTCATGTGATTAAACTCATGTACCCCAGTGGGCACTACACCCCTGCACAGAATTAAATGGACATTGGTCTCCTGTGCAGAATTTGGACCTCATACATCCAAACAAATATATGGAAATGCTTATGAATGTATGGAAATGTGTGCAGAACACGTTGTTTCAAAGATAAACCATTTCACAGTGCCTTTAAACAGGCATATCTGCTTCCTTGTTAGCAGAGATGTTGTCCATAAAGTTTGTTGAAGAGTTTACAGTACCCCGTGCCGACTGACAAAAACTGGTGTGGACCTGGCATTTGCCCTTACAGCGGAATAAGCTGCAGAAAAGAAGTTGTATTGGGCAGACAAACAAGCCCATTTCAGCCTGTGCAGCCTGGGGATATGAAGCTCCCAGTCTTATTTAAGGCATCATTTGTCCTTTGCAGAGTACAGGTCAGTTAATGATTATGCAAACCTCTTGTCCGGTGCAGTGTCATATGCCTTTCTCAATCAAATAAAGCAAATAAGGACTGTGGTAAAGGCCAAGCATGCCAACAACAGACACAAAGAATCAGCCCTTTTTGTCCGTTGCCAGAATGCCTGGCTAGTTTCTGCTTACTAAGGTTTCAGTGCAAGGACAGTGTTTATGTAGGCGAGCCATGTGTGTGTGTGCCTTTGGGTTGTTCAGCATTGGTGGGGGGGTTTCCAGACATTCCTGCAGTATGTAGTGAGGCAGACAACAGGAGTAAAAACCCATCTTCTATTATTTAGGTGATTTCTGTTTTGTGAGCCTGCCAAATAATTCTATATGTCAGAAATCGGTGGCGTTTGAGAAGGTTACTGGTGATTTTTGAGTCCCTGCAGTATAATCAGGTTAAAAAAACGATTAAAAAAATACTTTTAAGTCTGATGACCATTTTGGTCATCAGACAGGATTCAGAAAGAATGGTACCACCCTCAGAGACAAGCTCTAGTGTCTTAAAAAGTTTTGCTTCTTTTTTTCCTGCTTGAAATAGATCTATTTCTTGGTGTGATCAAAGGAACCATTAGCAATCTTGTAACAGTACTAAAAGTTTGCCTTATAATTTGAATACTTACATCATAAATATTAGTTATATTAAAGCTATTTTCAGCCTTTTATTTAGTGCTGGTGTAATATTTGAATTTGGTTATCAGCAGGGAAGGGGAGAGTAGAGGTTACAGTTTGCCAGTGTAATGTAATATTTATGCAATTAAGCCTCTGTTAAGTCAGTCATCTTCAAGCTTCTATCTCACTGGGTCAGGAGACCTGAATTCCTTGCATGCATTCAGTGTATTGGTATAAAATAAGAGCTATACATCTGTGTTTTGCAGGTAATATTTTTACTTCCATTTTGTATGCAAGGCAGGAGATGTACAAAAGAAAAACTATAATTTCTGACAGCTCAGATTTAAGTGGGCTTCACCGGGGGGGCGGGGAGTTTCTTTAGCATGTTCCAGGGTTGGCTTATAAGGGTTACACAGGCAAAAAGAAATATTGCAGGTGTTAGTTTTATTGGTGACACACTTTTTTGTACTTGTTATTGTTAGCATTAGCTACATTTCTTGTAAAATGCACATAACATGATGGAGCAGTGATTGTTGTTATCAAATTTTATAAAATATCCCTCTTTCTTTAATTACTAAACTCTGTTCAAAACCTTTACCATATTATTCTTATGTCATCTTCTGTTGTCTGATAACTAGTTACACATTTACAATAGTGTAATTCAACAATAACACCCCTGAAATCAGTGGAGTTGAATCAATATTATATTTATGTGAGATCACATGAACTGTGAGATCACAATAAGTTGATCTGAGAACAGAAGTGGCTTCACATTCTGTATCATAATTTGTTTTTCAACAGAAATAAAGAACAAAAGTACCAGATATAGGCCTATGTTGAGTAATAAATGAAGGATTTGATAATCATCATACTCAACAAAATAATTATACTTTATATACTACTACACATAACCCAGGGAATAATATGACTGATACATAATAAAGGATTATTTTATAATTTTACCTTTGTATTTGATCCATCCGTTTCATATGTAGCACTGAGGGTTAAGAATGTTATCTGATTTACTAATGACTTCTATTAACATGTAGGTAGATAAGGTATTTAAGAATTAGAATTTCTCCTATTATTTGTGCTCCGGTACTGTAGTCTTTCATTTGTGGAGATAAATATGCACTGTAATTTGTAAAACCACTTTGCAATCTTTTTGGATAAAAGCTGTTACAGGATTTATTTGCTCCTGCATTCTTTAAAAACTCTGTTCCACTATCATGAGTTGTTTAAAGTCAGTGGTTAAATATTAGACTAACTGATCAGATGTTAACAAAACTGTTCTCTTTTGTATCATTTTTGTAAGAAAATAATAGCCAAGAATATTCTTGGATTGTCTTCATTTTCCATAAGACATGTTTTCATCTCCATGTTACTTAGTACTAGGTGGTACTTGACTGAGAAGCAGAACTTTTGAATGCATCCAGAATATGAAGAAAAAATTGGCAAATTTGACAGCTTTCCATAATACTGTTCTGCAAAGTGGCTTAACAGCACAGTATAAAAGCCTGAACTGGTCTTGAACAAGTGTTTGTTTTAACTTCTAATATTTTTCCTTTTAGTTTCACTCTTGATGTTCCAGCATTCATCACTTCCTGCATGGCTCTTTACCGCAGGGAAAATGAGGGACTTTTGGGGGCAGTTGTGTTTCCATTACACTATCATAATGCCCCTAAAAATCCTTATTGCTCTTGCAGTATTCTTCTGTGTTACAGGGCCTGGTGTGAACTACTTGAAGACCTAGCTTATAAGTGCAGCTTTATTGCAAAAATCATTTTAAAAACACTGAGTTTGTTTATCTTATTTTTAGTTGTGTTTACTGTTGCTTAAAATATAAATGGCAAGATGTGCAACCACCTGTTGATAAACAAATGTCAGAAGTCATAAATCTAAGGAACATGCTGGCACCTGTGCAGTACTTGGGAAAAGAAATAAATTTCACCATAAGAGTGAGTTTTAAAAACAAGCTTTACTTGTTTGGTAAAACTAATATCATTTGTGTTTAACCTGAGAACTTACCGTGTATGTCTCCAGGATCATTAACCCCATTACACAGAGATTTCTCAGCGATTTAGTACACCTACTCTTGAATTACTTTGCTGTATCTGATCCCACTCAAAATCTGTTGCTGGTAAGAGTGCATATGAAGCAGTGTACAACAGATCCGCATAGCATGAGTCTTCTATTAAACCCACCAAAATTGTGGTCAGATAAAATCACAGGCCTCACATAATCTCAAAATTAATAAACAATTTAAGGGTAAACCCTTAAAAATTTCTTTAAGTACATTAAAAGCCAAAGACCTGTCAGGGAGTCACTTAGGCCTTTGGATAATCAGTGTCAAAGGGGTGCCAAAGGATGACAGGACCATTGCTGAGAAACTAAATGCATTTTTTGAATTTGTATTCACTGTGGAAGATACTAGGGAGATTCCCTCACTAGATCCATTCTTTTATAGGGATGAGTCAGTGGAGCTGACCCAAATTGCATTTTTAGTAGATGAGGTTGTGGAGGAAATTAATAAACTAAACAGTAGCAAATCACCAGGACCTGATGGCATTCACCCTAGGGTCCTGAAGGAGCTCAGATCAGAAATTGCTGAACTCCAAACTGTAGTATGCAACCTATCAGCAAAAATCCTTGCTACCAGAGGACTGCAGGATTGCCAACCTGACTCCCATATTTTAAAAGGGCTCTAAAGGAACTATAGACTAGTAAATCTAACTTCTGTTCCTGGAAAACTAGTAGAAACAATAATTAAAAATATTGTTCAGCACATGGATGAACATGACTTGCTGGGGGAGGAATCAACTTGGTTTTGCCAAAGGGAAATCATACCTCACTGACCAACTAGAGTTCTTTGAGGTTGCTGAGGGTGTCAGTAAGCAGATGGATCAGGGTGATCCAGTTGACATGTATGTATGGACTTCCAAAAAAGCCTTTGACAAGGAGAGGCTCTTAACAAAGTTAGGTAGTCATGAGATTATAGGGAAGGCCCATTTATGGATTAGAAATTGTCTTAAAGATAGAAAACAAAGAGTGAGCATAAATAGTCAGTTTTTAGGATGGAAATAAGTAAGTAGCAGGGTCCACCAGGGATCCATGTTGGGACTGGTGCTGTTCAACATATTCATAAATGATCTGGAAAAGGGGGTGAATAACAAGGTGGTCAGATATGCACATGGCACAACAGTCAAAGTAGTAAAGAGCAAGGTGGACTGTAAGGAATTACAGAAGGATCTTGTACTATTGAGCAAATGGACAACTAAATGGCAGATGAAATTCAGTGTAGATAAGTGTAAAGTGATGCACATGGGAAAAAATAACCCAAGTTATACCTACACTATAATGTACTCTGCATTAGCTGTTACCACACAGGAAAGAAATCTGGGAGTCATTGTGGACAGTTCACTAAAAACATCAGCTCAGTGCTCAGCATGCATCAAAAAGGCAAACAACATGTTAGGAATTATTAAGAAAGGAACTGTAAATAAAACATGAAGTATTATCATGCCCCTTAGTAAATCCATGATGCATCCACACCTGGAATACTATGCCCAGTTTTGGTTCCCACATCTCTGAAAGGAGATAGAAGAACTCATTGGCACTGCACAGTAGGTTCAGAAGGAGAGAAGGTACAGAGATGAACAACAAGGATGATTAGTGGCATGGCAGGGCTTTCATATAAGAAGAGACAAAGGGGCTAGGCCTATTCAGTTTAGAAAAGAGATGCTTTAGGGGGACATGATAAGCATTTAGAAAATACTAAATGGTGAAGAAAAAGTAAATAGGAATTTATTATTTACTCTCTCTCACAATACAAGAACTAGGGGTTACAAAATAAAACTAGTAGATAGTTTAAAACTAACAAAAGGAGGTTCTTTTTCACACAGCATATAATTATAAGTGTGAAACTCATTGCCACAAGATGTTGTGGAAGCTGCTAGTTTAGCCAGATTCAAAAAAGATTGGACAAATGCTTTGAGGAAAGATCCATCAGTAGCTATTGACCATGAGAGTTAGAGATATAGCCTCTGAATCAGAACTTCCTAAACCTTAAGACTAGGGACAGACATTACACATAAACCGGTTTAAGTGATCAGAAACTGCTTTTAACTTGTAACAGAGCAGATGTTCAGTGCACATAAACCAGTTTTAAAATGGCTGCAACCAGTTTGAGATAAACCTGGTTGAATGTAGTATCAGACTTAACACATTTGGGTCAAACTGTTTTATGCTATGTCTGTCCCAGACCCCTTGCTGGTTTAAGTTAAATCAGAGTCCCCCAGCATCCTGCCATGCTCTCTGGGCTGGGTGGGGCTCTCTGCTCTACAGCAGGGCTGGCCCCTCCCCTCTGCTCCCTGGCTAGAGCTCTGGCGGACTTGCAGGCACAGCCCCCACCAGAGACTGCAGACACAGTAGAGTCTGTCTGGCTTCCCCCTGCCCTCCCCCCCACCTTGCTGCTCAAGCAGGAAATCCCCCCCCTCCCTCTCTCCCATCTCCCACAGAAGGGACCCCAGCCCCATGGGTGCTAGGCATGTGGTATGGTAGCTAATGCCAAGAGGTGTCTGTGTGTGTCTCTCTCTCTAATTTCACTAGGACAGGCAGACAGACTGCTTAGGGCTGTTTGGAGCTAATCAACAGGTCAGCCAGTAAACTGTTTAAGAAGTTTGAAGTAATGGAGAGAGGTCATTGTTTTGCTAATCAGGTGATAAAGACTATTATCACTATCAGCCCTCAGCTGGCTTGCTAGCCTGTCAGTTTGCTGCAGACAGTATGACAAAGCACAGAAGGAGATTAAAAAGCTCCATATCATCAACAGATGCATGCACTGCACACCCTCCCTACCTCAGAGTGCTAGCCTGGGGCTGGCAATGAGTGGCAAAAAGCCTGGGACCATACAGGCAGACCTCCCTAATGAGAGAGTCCTGCTGGAGCCTCGCCATAACCCCCTCAGCTCGGCCCAGTTCCCTGCAGAAGGGAAGGGAGGGCTGCTCTAGTGCCCCCCCACCCCGCCTTCCCCCCAGCTTCTAGCCTGAGCTACTGTAGGCATGTGCCTGAATTTCCTCAGTTCAGAAAGAATGTCTGTCCGGTTTCAAACAGGTTCAGCGTAGCCAGGTTAGACTAAGCTGCAAAGATTGAATCAATTCAGGCTTAGGCTTTTTAAATATCTGTCTGTAGCTATTGAGACTGCCCTGGTCTTTCCCTAAATGCTGGAGGCTGCAAGTGGGAGAAGAACAGAAAAAATCCTGGCCAATCCCTGTTTACTCTCCTTTTCAGCATCCACTGTCTGGCACTGTGTGACACAGGATACTGAGCAAGATGGACCTGTGGTCTGACCTAATAAATGACAGTTTTTATCTTCTTATTAACCCTGGAATGACATCCAAGTGTTTATCTGCTCTATGCTTATGTAAGCAAGGGAACTTAATCGATAGAACTTTAGCTAATCACACAGAACAATGAGAGTTATTTCCTCCCTTTCAAGTGTCCCCCCTTCCCATTATAATTCAGAGAATTTACCTGCACTTACCAGCACTCTGTGCTCTTTTGGAGACAGGGGAGAATTGTGGAAAGTGACATCTCTGTGGTACCACTTCTACCTCATCTTGCAACTTTCTGCTGGGTAGCTATAGAAGGACTTCTATTGGAGTTGTGCATCTGGGAAATGAGGTTTATCACAGCTGCTAGAGGTATAACTGTGCCTCATTTTGAGATACACAAATTCAGCAGAAACCCTGCAATAGGTTCCTAGTAAAAGGTTTACCTTCTTCACAGTTATACTTTCAGGGTGGCTCCTCTATTCATCTATGTGAATTCTGTGGATCTGCAAGGTTTTGAGGACTGTTCCCAACCCAAGTCTACACCCTATGAAACCTTTCATGCCAGATGGTGATTTGCCAAAAAGCCTTCACTTTTTCATTGTGCTTTGAAGAAAGAGGGACTATAGTCCAAAAATAAAATAAAATAAAATCTCTTTTTGCCTGGATATTGCAGCACAATATATCCTCAACTTCATATGTGTAAAATTGGAAGTGCAAATTTAGCAGCTGTGACCATTAGAGTGCTATGAATGATTAGTAGTATATGTATTCTTAAATCAAGATATTGGACAGGGAGGACTAATACTGTATTTACCCAAATCCAAGGTGACTCTGAATTAATTAAAATTAAGATGACCCCCCATAATTAGATTCTATTCATGAAAAAATATTTAAATGTGTTATAATTTTCCATGTATAGAATCTAATTATTGGAGAGTTATCTTCAATTTGTCTCTCCCACCATTGTTGCAGTTGGAAAAGCAGTGGCAGAGGGGCAGGTGGTGAGAAGGTATAGGGGCCAGTAGGGGGAAAGGCAGTGGGGAGAAATTGGGGACAGGTAGTGGGAGGGCAGGCCGTGATGGGGCAGTGGAGAGGCAGGTGGTGGGAGGACAGGCAGATAGTTGGGTCAAGTAGTTTGACCTCTGCCCCTTGTCCTCCTACACCCTGCCCACTACCACTTGTCCACCCCTACCATTTGTCATCCCTGATGCCTGCCTCATCTTGTGCCCCCCACCACAGGCTCTGTTCCACCTGCCCCTCCCCCTCCACTTGCTCCAGTGTCACAGGCTTTGTCCCTGCTCCAGCCTGATTCATGAAGCACATGCTTGGGAGGCCTGGGAGCAGCTCTGGTGGCATAGCAGCTTGGACACATGGTGAGCTGCTATGCCAGCACCACTGCTATTGGGTTGGGCTGGGACCAGAGCAAGCACATGCTCCATAACCCAGGTTGGAACAGGGACAGAGCCAGTGGTACTGGAGTAAGGGTAAATGGTTGGGGAGGGGGTGGTAGGACAGGAGATGCAGGGGAAGAAGGACAGGAGGCCTGAGGCTATGGAGGGGGCAGATGGCAGGGGCATAGGCTGCAGGGAGGCAGGCAGCAGCTGCGGTTCCAGCTCTGACCCCAG